GTCTTTTTCGACAGAATGGTGATATCTGATGCAGTGTCCAACTGCAAACGAACTGGCTGACCATTGATTGAGAGGGTCAGAAATTTGCGTCGAGTCGCGGCATGAGTATGGAAGACTGCTGCTAAACTCCTTGATGAGGTGATCGGCTTTTTGTGAAAACGACGCTGCGTCTGTGCATTTCGACGGTTATTGGATCGGTTGGATTTGCAAAAGCCGCTTTTGTGACCAACTTTCTGACAACGATCGCACACATGCTGTTTGAATGGACAAAACTTCACATAATGCCAGGCTCCACAGTGCCAACACGGAGAGGGAGGCTTCTTCTGAGCCGGTTTAGAGTGACTAGAGACAGAAACAGCGCTGGCGTTCGAAAGATTCGAGGTCGTCGATCTCGAAGATTTTTTTTGGTGTTGAACAGCATGAACTTCGGAACCACCCTGGCCACCAGATTGAACCAAAGTGGTGTCACGCTGCAGATTGATGATGCGCTGGTACTCGTCTATGATCGCATTAAGTGTCAGTGTTGGATCTTGTTCAAGGCGGTTTAGCAAACGAGTTCTGATGTCGGAGAATTTGGGTGACTGAAGACTGCATATGAGTATTAGGGACTTGAATTAGTCTTCAGTGAGGGATCTGAGCTTGAATCGTTCGCACTCACGGTTAACAACGCCGACGTGGGTCAGGAAGTCATCGGACTCATTCATGATCAGTTTTAAGCAGCGATATCGAGTACTGAAGAGTGAGTGATGATCACCAAAAAGTTGGCTAAGGGACTGAATAGTGGCGTCGAATGAACGGTCGCGTGGGTTCTGCGGTAGAATAAAGTTGCAATACTTATCCAGCTCGGATGGACCAAGTTTACGAAGCAGGAGACGCACCTTCCACGCATCATCTCTGTCAGCAAAGTCAACTTTGAAAAGGTCTTCATAACGTCTGAACCAGGTATCAAATGTAATGTTGGCATCAGGATCATAAAGGAATTCTGAAATACCACTGGTAATACCATCAACTGATTCAGGAATTGTCGGTGTAGTTGGAACTCGAGAAGATATGTGCGTGTGAGCAATCATCTCCATCAGCTTCAACTGCTGTTCGAACAATTTTTCTAGTTTGGCTGGATCCATGGTTTATCACCAAATTCTTTGCTGAATCTCCGTCGCCAAATTATTGTGTATCGCGAGGTGACTACTCTAATTTCTACCGATTGACCAGCTTCAGATATCCCAGTTCGACCCCAATACTGTTCCCAATCTCCAATATATCAGAACACGAACCGTAGATGAAAAATTGTTTATGGGGTCAGAAGCCGAATAATGATTTACAAACAAATGCATATTTATACAGTTAGGATTACTATAAATATTAACCAACAGAAAGATAACACGTGAAATAATATTGACCAATGGGGAAATGACACGCGAAATAAATATTGATTAGTAGGGAAACGTCCAATAGGAAAATGACACCATTTAACGTTCAAGGGTAGCATTAGACTTAACCGGATAATTGTTTTTGGGATATTTTTCTGAATATCCCAACACTAACATCACGAAGGCGCCAAAGGTGGCCCAGATTGGCATAAGCCGCTCTGGCTTTCACTATACGTGCATTGATCTCATCACTCACACTCCCCACACCCCCCACTACCCAGATACACGAACTTCTCGACTACTTCTATCTGCTCACCATCCAGGGTGAGTACAGGATTGGAATCCTGCCAGTCTTGTAGAAGTACTTTGCACTTCGAAGGTGCAAAGCACATACCATACCTACGGACACTGATTGCCAACTGATTAAGTGCGGATTGCATGGCTTGGGCATTATCGCACAGTAAGACAATATCATCCGCATACTCAAGGTCGAGAAGTCTTTCTCCAGGCAACAGATCCACACCACCATTACTTACATTCATCAGAGCTGTTTCTAGAATGTCATCGATGGCAAAGTTGAAGAGGAATGGTGAGATTGGGCAACCCTGCCTAACCCCACTACTCGTATAGAACAATGGAGAGAGGTGGTTGTATGCCCTCACTCTGCCTGAGGTGTTTGTATATAGGGCTTTTAGGATGTTAATAAACTTCTCAGGCACACCCTTCTTCAATAGACAATCCCAGAGAACAGTCCTGTCCAACGAATCGAAGGCAGCCCTGATGTCAAGAAACACTACGATTGTTGGCCTTTGATAAGTATGGCGATGTTCTAACATTTGGCGGAGGGTGAAGATATGATCAATACAACCTCGACCAGAACGAAACCCAGCCTGCTCCTCGCGAGTCAATCTTTCTCGGGTTTTGAACAACCTACGAAGTATGACGGAAGCCAATAGCTTGGACGCAATCGGAAGTAGACTTATCCTCTGATAGTTGTTGCAGGTACGACGTGAACCCTTTTTAAGGATAGGGACAACTATCGACTCATTCCATGACGTTGGTACACTCTCTAATTCCCAAACCTTTGTAAACAACGTCAATTCCTCAGTCAAAAAGTCACCACCATCTTTAAAAAGAGCCGGAGGTAAGTCATCTGGGCCAGGTGATTTGTAACGCTTCAAGAGTTGGAGTTCCTTGCGGACTTCCTCCTCGTTTGGTGGATCAGTCGTCACCGGCCATGGAGGGCAGGACAGTCTGACCGATGTTGCCGGAGCAGCAGGCCAGTTGAACTGCCCTTCGAAAAATTCTGCCCATCGTCCAAGACGTCGAGGGATGTTAGTGATTGGCATCCCATCATCCTCGCAGATTGTTTCACTCACACCAGACTTCTTGCTGCCAGTGGCTCGGATGAGCTGGAAGAGCTTCCGGTAGTTACCAGATGCAGCTGCTGCTTCCATCTCATTAGCACGCTCCGACCACCAGGCTTCTCGGTCCTTACGCAAGCTTTGCCCAAATTCCTTACGTCACATCCTTCGTTTATGGTCAAACTCACGGTCACCCGGAGTCGACCGACGGGCTTCAATAAGTTGTAAGGAACCAGAAGAAACCCAGTGCTTATAAGCGGGACGTTTCGCAAACCCACATCTAAAGTTTTACTTTCCCTGAGTCGATAAATTCCGACACCAGTAGCTGCGTTTTCAGATCACTATGTTATGTTTCCATAACTGTACATAAAAAATTGAACTTTTATTGACAATAAAGGTTTCACTTTAAAAATTAGATCAATTAGGTCAAACTGATAAGCAGTAATTCTTTGGCTGATGTCAAATAATGGCTTCATTTATGATTGAATAGTGAGAGGAATAAACTACTGGGGAATCGCATTTACACTAAAAAACCTCACAACACGTAATCCTGTGATTTTGTTTTATTCTATAGACTTAGTGAAGTAAATTAATTAATTCGAATTCAAAATATAGTTGAAAAATATCCGTAATCAAAAACGAACGCATACTAAAGCATTTACCCATCTTTAGTGTTTATAATCTTCTACAATATTTGGTTTTAAAAATATCTTGAGTGTTTGTTTTCCGACACAACATATTTTGAACTCTACAGTTCTGCACTCAATAGCTTAGTGGATAACTTGGCGTTCAGAGTAACACGCTATGTTTGAGTCTCAATAGGACATCAACAATACGGATCAGGTGCGCTAGCATGGAGAACTCCAAGAAGGACGACGGATATTGGTGTCTATGTTGTCTGATTAGAAACGTCTAGAAACAACTATTCATTACTAAAAAGGCTCAATCGTAGTTAAATAAATAGAAAAACGTACTTTCATAGAATATCAAGCAGTAACGTTAAGTATCTTTCATACTTATATTTTAACAATAATTCTAGTTAGGGGCATAGCTGACCATAAAATATTCAAATAGCATCATCTATGTAAGACTAGATAGAAGATAAGTATTTTATGTTCATGTTTGATTGTTTCCCCTCAATTTTAGTCTCAATTTACTGTAGGACCACCGTGTTAAAGGGAAATCCCAAGCGTAATACTGGAATCGAATGTTTACGTAGGGTAAAACTTAACAAAACTCTCAAAACCTATCACCAAGTTCAGACTCAAAAAGGTCTATGAATAAATTAATTTTAATTGACAGTAACAGGAATAAAAATAGTAGTGATAATCGTTGATAAAGCTTTATATTTTCTCTTGCGGCTTAAACAGAACGTCTTAGGAAATTATAAGCCAAGTTACCAAAAAAAATCTATATGGGGATTACTTTCCTATAAATATATTAAACTAATTCAAAACTATCAAAAATAAATAATTACCATATGACCCACAACTTTCTTTCTTTCTTGTACTATAGAAGTGAGTGCGTGAATAATTACACAAATTTTATTAATTAGTAGATAATCGCTTTTTTCTGCCTCCAAACTATCTACGTTGTTTCAAGTATAAAAGACGTGCAAGTATTCTCAGTAACTAAATTTATTTTTTGACTGTCACCAAACTATTGTAAACGAGAAGCAAATATTAGACAAAAGACCTTTATCATAACTAAGTATATTTTCGAAAGCTCATGTTCTAAAGCATGGGCCTAATTTCACATTAAGAACTTAAGTAGCACCTATCTTATCTAGCCTGTTATTGTTTAAATTGGCGATAAGGCTGAACAACCAAATGATAAGTAAATGAGTCATGTTCACCCGATGGGTTATGATATATCCATTTGTGTGACGAATTATGAACTTCGGTCCTTGAAACTTTTCACATATATACGAAATATTTTATGTCTTACACATAATCTCATCACACTAAGTCCATGGGCTATATAAATTCACATGATATTTCATACAACAATTGTTGAAACAACACAATCCAACGTACAATTCCGCTTATTTCTGGTAATTATATATCCTATTTTGTAGTACGGCATGGATAAAATATAACACTCTTTATTATATCGTATTCCGACTTCCGTTTTTACAATATTAACAGTCATCTTAGTAAAGGTAATCTAACAGTTTAGTAACGCAAAGATATGCGAAATAACTACGTGTCTAAATTGGATGAACTCGAAGTATCGGTCTTTATAGCAGTGATAATTGTCACTTCACCTTGATTAGTGATTATATCCCTTGAATTTTATGATATTCAAATTAGGGTGATAATAACATAGCAATAGACGAATGGGTGAAACTCTATTTTATGGACGACCTTTGAACGTATTTTTAAGTGACCTTGAGAACATTAGCCAATCAGAAGAGAGTTAGTATAAAGTAAAAATATATTATAAAAAACTGATGAATTACAATGGATATTCTTCTTTTACATGATTTAAGAACTTGTTGAGGTTTGATAAAGGTTCGAAAGTTTTGAAATCATAGTGCATGCGGTATAAAAACTCGTCCATATGGCTCCATAGTAATCGTCCTCTGGAGCCGTGGTAGGGTCATAAAAAATACTTCAGCCTTGACCATATGCCTTCAATATTGTTTGTATGGACACCCGTCGTTGGATCAATAAAATAACGTTTGTGCACCACAGCATGATGAACAAAACCAAGTCTCGAGAGGCATCTATACGCTTTCCAATCATCGGTATAGATCGTCGTGCCAGGTTGAACGTACTCCTTGATGATTGTCGTTACCTGACGGTTTCTTACTCTTTGAAAATGTCCTTTTTGAGTTGAACGATCGTAAAACCCAAGTACCTGTCAAGCATATTCACGGAAGTGCTACTTACCCAATCTTCCTTGAAAAAACGTCCTTTATTGCATTTTCGCTTTCTAACTACCGCCTCATCTATTTCCACTATCTTTCCAACTCCTCCAAATGATTCATGTACTTGTGTCATTTTCATTGCGCATATATCACGACAATATTCATACCACTGAACGGCGGAAGTTTCCGTAGCATCTGCAAAAGCCGCAGATAATGTTATTGAAGACTTTATGATCCAATTTGCAACGATTATCATGATTTGTCTTAGCCTTAGCCGTGACCGGGCAAAAAAGTGCCAGTTCGAGCAGATTTTTTCTCCAACATATAGTCCAACGAAATAAAATGTCATCACGGTAGTCAGCACATCGTGTTGCGGTCATTTGATTGCCGCAGTCGCAAACACAGGAACTTCTTAATAGTCCCATCTGCTGTAGTCTCTCAACAATCACCTCTTCTCTAAAATCTGCTGTAAAACGATCGAGCTTGATATAGGTAAATCACGGGGGCCGATGAATTACATCCTAGGCTACTAAAGGAATTATCTAACTTCGTTGCAAGCCCTTTAAGTACATGCTTTAACCTATCCGTTACGCAGGGTCGCTTACCGAAAGATTGGAAAAACGCCATAGTAAGTCCTGTCTTCAAAACAGGTACGAAACACAAACCTGAGAACTACCGCCCCGTTAGCCTAACTAGTGTGGTTGTTAAAATATTAAAAAAGATTATTAGGGAGGAGCTGTTTAGGTATCTCGATAAAAACCGGATCCTCTCGGAGAAGCAGCACGGCTTCAGAATAGGTTATTCTTGTCTCACTAACTTATTAGTGGCTCGTGAAAGCTGGTGCGCTCTTAAGGTCCAAAAGCTACCTGTAGACGTCGCCTTCATTGATTTCCGTAAAGCTTTTGATAAAGTTCCGCACAACCGGCTGTTATATAAGTTAAGAAAAGTCGGGATTGGAGGCAATTTATTGATGTGGATAAAAGACTTCTTAGTTGGGCGTCAACAAAGAGTTCGGGAGAACTCAAGGTTATCTAGCTGGGAAACTGTGCTTAGTGGAGTGCCCCAGGGTACAGTTTTGGGGCCAGTTCTATTCCTCTTGTATGTAAATGACCTTCCTTGTCTCCTATCATCATCGGTCTTGCTATATGCTGACGATGTCAAGATATGGAAAGCGATACGATGTAAGAGTGATAGCTTAGAACTTCAAAATGACCTGGAAAAGTTATCTGAATGGTCTCAAACATGGCAGTTGCCGATAAATACTTCCAAGTGTGTTGTGATGCATATCGGTCATCAAGGCACAGATACATACACGATGGATAACACTGAGCTACCTGTCGTCCAGACATATAATGACTTAGGGGTTATCGTTAGCCAAGACTTAAAGACTACTGCACACTGCCGTGCAATAGCCGCCAAAAGTTTTAGATCGTTATGGTCAATACGTAGGGCTTTTAGTCATGTCGACGCTAAGACGTTTTTGACTTTGTATAGTGTTCGTTCGTCCTAAACGTGAGTACTGCATACAAGCGGCTAGCCCCTGCTTAAAAAAAGACAGTGAGCTTCTGGTAAAGGTTCAGAGAACGGCGACTAAGCTGGTTCCCGGAATAGAAAAGCTTCCGTATGAATCTCGACTGACCAAGCTGAACCTTTTCCCGTTATCATATCGCAGAACTAGAGGCGACTTGATTACAGTCTACAAGTTGCTTAGTGATAAATTTGCACCTAACATGCCCTCATTTTTCTTGTCTTCCAAAACAGAGAATTTACGAGGACACTCCAAAAAAGTTCACAAGCCGAGAACAAATTACTTGTCAGCTGACTATCGACTTTCCCATCGAATCATCAACGAGTGGAATTCACTACCTCAGCACGTGGTTGAGGCTCCATCCGTCGACTCTTTCAAAAGAAAGTTGGATCAACTGAGAGACCACCATTGCCAGGACTAACATAGGCCATCGAGCCTCCTGTCCTTCCCAAACTGAATGTGAGCATCCCGCACTGAACTTAGCGCCGTGACCTTGAAGCTCCTTAAATGCTTCTGATTGGCTCGTCCATAAATTAGAGTCCTACCCAAATTCTTTGACATGGTTTACTAACCATATGATGTAAAACGGAGGATAGGCGACCATGATAATATCAGCACTTTCAACAACTTTTCTGATGTCAAAAGATGCAATTATGTTTGCAGGCAATTTTAATTTTGATAAATAGATCGGATCCGTGTGATCTTTATTAACACAGGTGGTTAAACTTTGGTTGACATGTTCTTCATCTCGTACATACCAATAAACCTAAACATTTGTGAGGTAAGAACCATATTCAGAACAGGTAACCTTGGAATGAAACTCGCCCGACGATGCAACATTGTCAGCAACAACTTTGACTATAGCAGTACCCCAAGAACCGCAACCGAGAACGGAAACACGTTTAACCATTTGATGTGCTTGAATTTCTACATCTTTTAGGCCGAATGTTTTTCTTAGTTTTTGACTTAATAAAACAATTGTGCATAATGATAGTGTATCACCAAGACGAGACAAATGTGTTTAAACATGAATCGCGAAAGCGTTAGTTACGGCTTGAGGTACTTTTCTCAATCACAAGGGTTGTCAGGAAGCAGACGATGGGTCTAAACGTAACCTATGGAAATGTCATGACATGAACGTTCTCCATATTGGACTCGAACAACTCATGTCCTCCATGAAAATACGCTCTGGATTGTCTCTTGAGTGCTTGATCCTAACCTGGTAGTAACGGTGAGCTAGGAAACCAACTGAAACTAAATGAGGGAAGGAATCAAGTAAAACGCGACCTTTCACTTTACTCGAAGACAATTTGAAATATTCATCCCAGAACTGTTCCCAACTCTTCTTATAATTTATGCGCGGCCGCACCTTGAGGCTTACATTGTCGTTGCTCCCCCTATATTCAAAGGAGATGAAAATCTCTTAGATTAAGTACAGAGACGGGAAACTAAATGAGTAGTGATCCTAAAACATAAATCTTATGAAAACGGACTCCTGAACCTGGGACCAATCTCGTTGAGCTATGAGAAAACAAATGGTGATCCGGTAATGGCATACAACCTATTTATTATGTGAACTCACCATAACACAAGCATCCCGTCTGAACATCGCTACCGTACTCCTAGGGGCAACTCTTGAAAATTGCACATCAAAGAACAAACACCCAGGTACCCACTCACTTTTTTTTCGTAGGGAGTTCCCGCCGTTTAGTATGCTCTCTTAGCTTAAGTGAGCAAAGGCTCCTCGTGGTGAGTAACTTTAAGGTGGGACTCGGCGAACATCTACTAACTCATGGATTAGTATACCCCTTTTGGACCTGTCGTACCAGATGAGTGTCAATGTCTCGTATCATTAACTACCTCCCATCTTTCTTGCTAACCTTTCGGTTTCCCTTTCCATTCTTTCAATTTCGTCTTCTCGCGCATTACCAAGCAATTAACTTATTTGTTATTATCTGTAGGGGGTTGTGGAGATTACTAAGTTTTCGATTGATATCATGAATCGGTTAAAGTTAGACCTCCAGTAAATACGTGAAGGCACCGGCTAACCGTTTCGTCTTAGTGTGTGAGTCTTTAGTAGTGCGCATCCACGTTCACGCACACGGGGTTCGATCTCAGGACCTTCGGTCTCGCGCAGGAACGCTCTTAGTACTTGAATTATCACACTATTATTTCACACTGACAACTAATCTGCTGGCTAGTAAAAGCATCTTCAATATCTGACATTCAATTGAACAGAAGGTTCGTATTGGGGTCGAACGTCATTAGGTCCTGACAATTTTATGCACCGTTCAAGGTCTCCACCGAGCCGCCTTTATAATAACAGATAAATATCGGTGTTTATAAGGCACTAAAAATCTAAACGGTTGTCATGAATCATATTTGATTATGCTCGAGGTTATTTTCACCTTATTCAAATAGCACAAAGAATTACTGTTTGCATGTTCTGATTCGTGTGAATGAATGTGGTTAAAATTCACTAAAATATCTTGAGAACAAGCTGACTTATATGGGTTTCAAATTTGCTAGTGCTATATTGACTACTAAGGCGTATTCGTCACTGTCGGGTGATGATTTTTGATCATTGAGAAGCAATGACATTTCAAATAGAAAATCGTTTCGGATTTAGTTATAGCTTACGTAACACCCCGTATGAACTGTTTTCCTTTTTCAAAGTTAATCGTCCATCTGAAGTCAAGTCTTGACTTTCTTGATGATGACAAGTGAGATCTCATTGATTGCGTAAATGTTTCGTCAACTGCTCTGTTCAATAACTAAAAAAATAGAACGTCAAAAACGAATAATTTTTCGGAAGTCTATATTTCGTATAGTTGTTTATGCCGACAACAAACAAATAATAATAGAGGAAGCTACATTTGCTAGTTTATTCACAGGATCTTACTGTAAATCGTTTTTTGTAAGAAAATAGACCACATTTCAGATGTTAACAGTATATAAACACATATTCTTCAC